CCGGCGAAATCTATAGAAGCGCGCTCTTCGAAATGGCACAGAAAGTTGACCCCAAATTTAGAAGCGTTCAATGCTGCGCTTCCCGCCCCCGCTCGTTGCCTGTCGCAGGGCTCTGGTGGCGCGTACGATATTAGAGAGTTTTAGCAGATCGTAAACGATAGCCCGGTACAGCGGAGCTTGCGCTACTACTTTGTAGCATGCTTTTAAGCGCGCCCGGACTGTACCGGCATCGTATCGGTATTGTGTTAAGCGTTTGATAAAACTCTCTACTGTTATCAAAGCCAAAAAGCTTGTGTTCGATGCGGATCGCCGACTGTAGGACAGTCATTTATCCCTTTTGAGTCGACTGTATTACGAGCGCTCTCGAAGACGGCAACATGCGCAATGCGCGCTATGTTAATCTAAATGTCCAGCATCATCAGCCTTTTAATCAACATGCATCACGCTGTATACGACTTGACATTTCAGTGACAGTGGATGAGGTCCACTCCCGATGGAAGAACCTGAGGGACACTTTCCGAAAAAAAATGAATGACGAGAAGGGGACAAAAAAGAGTGGGGCTGCAGCTTCCTCAAAATCTAAGGTTTGGCCCTACATGGACCAAATGCAGTTCCTGAGGGACACATTAGGTTTGCGCAAGTAAGTGTTGGAAAATATCAATATTAATTGATAGGTGTGAGCACAAGTGCTTAAAGGAGCGGTGCAACGATATTCAATTGGAATGTTTTTCACTTTGCACGAGCTTACTGGCACTAGTGGGACTCAAGGATACTCGCAACGCCACTGGCTAAGAAACTCTTTTGTTGCGGTGTAATTTCAGGGACAAAAGCGATCATTTTCATTCAATCTTTCCTTTGCGAATTTTGATGACGTACCGTGGGGATCGCAGTAGACCCCAAATGACGATATTTGAATGCGGTTCATAGATTGGACCCGAGTATTGCGTAGGCACTCGATTTGGGCTTGTAATAATTACTAGCTCGAGAAGCATTCGGGTAGTGGCCCGTGACCAATCGCTGCGACGACGACAATAGCCGAGCCATAGCAATGTCTGGAACTCAGCGCGTGTCCTATGCTTTGCCAACCCCAGCGCGTGGCTATGATCGACATTGGCGGCATATAATCGGCTCCAGATCACATGGCCGCTTGTTCTGGCTGCGAGTTGAGGGGGTGAACGCTGCTCGTTTTTTTTTTTTTTTAATGTTTTTCTGGAACTTCTATTACGTGGTTTGAAAGACGAACGCGTGTTTCATATATGTCAGTAACGTCAGTGTCCCGTTCTGAGTGGTATTTCGCGAAGTAGAAAAATTGTTGCACCGCCCATTTAATAATTTACATTCTTTTTAGAAGCTTCAGCAACATGGAGGCCACCGATTTAACGGTGGCACACATGAGTCAACCGGCAGCAGACAGTCCGACGCCTCAAGGGAGCCCAAGGGGGCCGGACGCCTCAAGCAGTCTGAATCTGATTTTTGCGTCACCGGGCTACGCCGAGACCTCTGCTGCTGGTCCTTCCCAAGCAGCCGAGCCGGGAAGCTGCCCAAGAGAAAGCGTAGCGACTAGGACACACGCAAAAAGCCAAAAACGGAAGCAGGACTTGGAAGCAGTGGAAGACGAACTCAACGTTGTGAGAGGGGCCCTGGCAGCACACAAGCCTATGGATGCTACTGTCCACTTCCTGCTCTCCCTAGATCCATACTTAAAGGCGACACCCGAGTCTATGCAGACTCACCTTAAGATGGAACTTCTACATATTCTATCTCAGTATGCTCAAGGCCGATACCCTGATGCACTTCTTGTAAAGAGCGAGTAAAGACAAATGAGTCACACCTTTTGCTTGTTTATTCGTCTGGATGGTGTCTACCATGCAATGTATGCAAAAGTTTGCAAGTGCTCGCAGCACAAGGTGCGCTTCCGTTCAAGGACGTAGCCCAGCAGAGGTCCGCTGCCAAGGTACGGCCCCTTGCCTGCTCATAAAGTAGGAGCAGAAGAGGTTTCTCGCTTCACGTGCGGAACCGCTGTAATTGTGCCCCACCGGAGGCTCCAGGTCCGTCATAACTGTTTCGTCGTCTTTGAATGTCGATCGCCAGTTGCCGTTCGTGATGTTGCCATAGGCATCCTCTTTGTCAACGTAGCTAGGAGGAATGTAGACGGAGTCCTCCCGCAAGTAGTTGTGTAGTGCGCAAGTTGCCATGACGACGTAGTCTGCGTGTTCTGGTAGCAGGTTGATGGTTCTTCGGAATATCCGAAACCTTGATGCCAACACGCCAAAAGCGTTTTCGGCGCACCTCCTGCACAAGTGGAGACAGGTTCACGGAAATGATTCTTTACAATTATCCCGCAACAAAACAGACAAAAAACAACAACAATTAAACTATTTGCTGCCCTGCTAGAAACTACCCGCCCACCCCCTCCAATTCACTACATGGTTATTGCGCTTTTAAGTCACCTTGCACGGCTGAGCCGATAGTTGAATATTCGTTTGTCATCGTCCTGGTGCTTTCCCGGGTATGGTCTCAAAAAGTCTGGGCGTAGGTGGAACGCTTCGTCCCCCAAGAACACATATGGTGCAATTACTGTCGAGTTTGGAAGCCGCTTTGGTGGTGGCAGGCCGAGGAGGCCATTTTCGAGACATTTACCGAACCGAGAGGCACTTAGGGTGCCTCCATCACTCTGTCGTCCGTAGGCACCGACGTCTACAGCAACGAACTTCAAGTCACTGTCCACAACAGCCATTAGTACGATAGAGTACGTACCCTGTAATGACAACAAATCATAAATGCAGTGAGAAATACAGCTCATAAAAAGTACTGACGCAAACTGCACCTTATAGTTGTAGTATAAGCTACCATAATTCGGTGGTGCCTGAATCTCGATGTGTTTGCCATCCACAGCACCAACACAGTGGGGGAAATTCCACTTGTGTTGGAAGCCCTCAGCAACTTCCTGCCATCTCTCAGTAGTTGGCACCTGTGATGACATTGTGTCATAGCAGCAGACATGTAATAGAGCCTTCTAAATATTTCAAACGCGACTGCATGGAAGTTCTGAAATCAGTTTCATAAACTACAATTTTCGATGGTATATAATATATGTACGCACACACAGATACCTTTACAATCTGTTTTATAACAACATAAGTAAACATTGGTTAATCCCTTAACCGTTTTAAGGTTTTCATGATCTGTATACTACATTACAATACTCAACTCCAGAACTTCATAATAAGTGCTCAACTTTGTGCAAGATGGCCTTCATTGATATAGCACCCTTAATCTACGCGGGTTTCACATGAAGGGATTTCGTGGCCGAAATCGTTGCCGCTAGCGGCGTGGTGGCACGGATCGCGAGGTTTCACTTCACATGAGCGTTTCCTGCGGTTGCGATGGCCAATGTTGCTTGCAGCAAGCAGATGCTCACAGTAGGTTACAGCGGCTTCCAATAATTTTAATGCCTTAGTTTTCATTTTATCCTTTAATTTCACCTTAATAAAATAAAAAAGCGTTTAAAATATTAAATAAACCTTGATCCTATTTGTTTATGGTTCTTGTTTTCTTTCGAACTTCGTTGTCGCGGAGGATCAAACGTCGAATCATCCTCGGCAGCGTCATGGGCAGCGCCTTCCTCGGATGTAGACTTCAACTATGGTGCCTGGAGCGCGTCTTCGACTGGTGTGTTTAGCGTCCTATCCCGCCCATACATCAAAAGTGGTCCCGATGTGGCAACAAATGACGCGAGTGTCATGCTGTTCCCTGTCGCGATCCTGGCGGTTGGCCGTAGAAATGCTGGCGAAAAGCAGGAGCGAACGCGAGTGTCGCTGTCTTCACGGCGTCCCGTTAGGCGTCCCAACTTCCGGCTGCACTAGCTTCCGTGAACTGTCACAGTGGAAAGCGACCTGCAGCAGAACAGGCATCTGCTACATACACCATAACTGTTGGGACGCCACCAGGGTCGCGACCGGCGACAGCAGAACACTTTTATGACGTCATCAGGCGGAAATCGAGGGACCACTTTTTTGGCCGCGGTAAACCCACCATTCAAAGACGCGATCCAGGCACCATACTTCAACTGATATGACCGACCCGAACCTCGCGAACCGGTAGTAGTGCAGTCGTTTCATACCGGTCTTGTCGATCACTTTCAAGGCCTCAGTCACCTCTTCCCCGAGTTTCTCTTTGATCCCATTGTTCCTAAATTCTTTGAGCTGCGCGTCCTAAGGAACCCGACGCTTGGACAGTTCACTGATAAGCAGTTCATTGAACTGGGCGCAACATGTTTCGTCTTACTTGGTGCAACGATCTGTGTTGGAAAAAAACATGTCAATGTCGCTCAGTTCTTCTTCTTTTGTTTTTCTCACTAGCGCACGTACAACCCGCTACCAAGTAGCGTCTCTTGCGCTCGCTACAGTCGGTACTCGGGCGAGGAAAGCAAAAAAGAGTCGCGTAATTCATTGAGAAAACAAATTACGAGGAAGGGGACAGCAATCCCTCTCCTCAATGATCTACTGAACAGTTCCGACGCGACTGCTGAAGCAAAGAAGCGCGACCCGCCGTAAAAGAGATATCGCAAACCAGTCGCTTGCGTACTTTCTCTGCTTGTCGTCTGCTTCAAGAACGTGAAAACGCCACCGTCCTGTGCGCCAGCTTTCCCGCAATGTTTCTCCTCCTGTCACGTGACTTAACGCCTCGCTGTGAGTGGCCAAGGCGAGAGCTGCCGCTCTGCCGCGGCGAAGAATTTCCAACCAGGTGGAACCGTGCCGCTCAGCCGCTGCGGCTGGCCAGAGCGCCGCGACGGCAGAAATCGCGCCGCTCTAAAGCCAAAATCGCTGCATGTGAAACCCGCTGACGAACTGTGACGGCTTGTATACCCAGGTATTGTCAGGCAAAAAGAAGCGGGGCTCGGACGGCAGTGCGCGAGCTGAGCTCTCGGATCTGCATTGAACGGTCACCGTGGACGCACCATCTTAATCAGTATGCTTATTTCCCGATTTAAAACGTATTCAATACTAGAATCCCCAGCAGTGTCAGTATTTCTCTAAAAGCACCTCACAAATTACTGGTAATAGAAGAGGTGCGCAAAATTTAATCTTAAGCAAAGCATTTTCTATCACTAATTTGACCAGCCAGCCTTTCAACATACCTTTAGACAAAGGGGTTGGAGAGCTGTCCAGAGAATCTTGCAGGTGGAGTGAATGACACCCGACGCTGTCGAGATTCCGACTCTAAAGGCCAGAGCAATGTCCTGTATCTGCATTCCAGACGATAAGTACCTTAAAGAAAGCGGGTGGAACAGTAAATCATATGTCTGTGCATAAATCAGAGCTAATTAGAAAAGCAGGAAAGTTCCCAGTACCTGAGTGTCATGGCAAGTCTAGCCCGCGATAATAGCGGCTCCCGCGTGAGGTAAGCTCTTGTGAGTGGTGTTTCGACCAGGGAATGGAGCTCTTCAAATTTTTCAGGTCTCATCTTATAGTACTTCTGGAAGTACTCCGTGTCCCCACTTATAAGCAAAGGCATCTGCACGAATATATTACATTGTGAGAAAACTAATACCACTAGAAAATCCTTGGTATCAAAATACGAGGTCACAACTCACCGATGTGTGGAACTCCGACTCTCTCCTGCGGTTTTGCCAGATGGGCCTTACCCACCAGCGCCTTGGGCTCGGGAGAGTAAGCAGGATCTGCTTCTTTCTTAAGAGAAGATACTCTTCAAGTCTTCGTAGACGGACATACTCCGGATCATGAGCACATACCCCAATTTCGGAAATACCAACTATGTCCAGGAGGTTCGGGTCGGCCATATCAGTTGGAGTGTTTACATCCGAGGAAGGCGCTGCCCGTGACGCTGCTGAGGATGATCCGAGGTTACATCCTCCGCAAAAACGAAGTTTGAAAAAAGAACCATAAACAAATACGACCAACGTTTATTTAGTTTTTCGACGCTTTTCTTTGATTTATTAAGGTTAAATTAAAGGGGACACTGAAAACTAAGGCATAAAAATTGTTGTTAGAAGCCGCTGTAACCGACTCTGCGCATCTGCTTGCTGCAAGCAACATTGGCCATTGCAACGGCAGAAAACGCTCATGTGAAATGAAACCTCGCGATTCGTGCCGCCGCGCCGCTAGCGGCAGCGATTTGGGCGGCGGAATCGCTGCATGTGAAACCCGCTTAAAGCGGCGCGATTTCTGCCGTCGCGGCGCTCGTGCCGCAGAATTGCTGGTGCTGGCCAAAGCGCCGCGACGGCAGAAATAGCGCCGCTCTAGGGCCAAAACCGCTGCATGTGAACTAGGCTTAACTCTGCGGGTGAACTCTCGTGCTTCTTTTTCTTCGCTCTGGTGTTCCACTGCACACTGACTAATAAAATAGAATTTTATTTAGGTCAAAATAGAAAACAAATGTGGACGAGGAAAGGCGGTCACTCACCACAACAAAGTATTTGTATATACGTGGCAAAACGCGAGTCCACCACTCAGAAAATATCACACTACTTGGTACAGGCAACATATCCCATTGGTTTCAGTTTTAAGCACGAACCAGGAACTCTGTTCCGTAAACCACATACTAAGCGGCAAGTTGTCAAGTGCCCCCCCAAAAAAATGAAAAAAACTTTCAGCCTTTCCACTCTGGTGAGGAAGGAAGACCAGCGAAGCTGTACTATGATGGAACGACATCAAGGATGACTTTTTGGTCGACCTCAAGGACGACGTCTAGGACGACCTGAAAGACGACGTCTACGACGACCTCAAGGACGACTTATGGACGACCTTGAGGACGACCTCAGGGATGATGCCGAGGACAACCTCAGTTAGGACGCCTAGTACGACCTCAAGGACGACGTTTAGGACGACCTCTAGTGCGACCTGGAGGACAACTTCTAGGACGACCTAGGATGACTTGAGGACGTTCGGACGACCTCAAGAACGAGCTCAAGGACGACGTCTAGGACGACCTTGAGGACGACTTCTGAGACGACTTCGAGGACGACGTCTAGGACGACGCCTAGAGAAATTCAGCGTTTGCACTCTGGTGGAAACCAGAGTGGAAAGACTGGGAAGGTTGCCGCCATTTATGAGCAAGGCCGGCAAGCCCGTTGTCAGGATGTCGCCATTTGTTCATAGATGGCGGTAACTCTCCAGAGTTTTGTGTCGACATTTGTTTCGTACCGAACACGATCCAAAGGAACCTAGCCCTTAACAGCTCCGCGGGAAAAAGCCCATTTAAAATCAGTAGAATTATTGTTAGATGTTTTCAGCGAAAGCAATCCAATCAGTAGAGCTCTAATGTAGCGGAAGGAAGAAGAAGTGCCTGAGATTGAGGACGTAAAATTTTCGTTCCGTCAATTCGACAGCCTTTTCGGTAGCCTATAGCCAGCTGTGACCTTCAAAGACCGACCATAAGAAGCTTCAGAACTACCGGCGACGTCCGAGCAGTCGCCAGTGAAAAGCCACTCGTAAGGGTGGTCTTTTCTAGACCCCAATCATGATGCCCGGATCCACGATCGAACTTCCACAGCAGAGCATTGAAAGCGCCGCCACCAACGTCACAAACCCAGTATCGACAGATCACATCACCCCTGGACAACACTGCATGCCGAACGACTCAACTCACGATGCTCATGACACCGCGTCCAAGTTCTGGACGTCCGAGTCGGTAGCGAACTCGTCTGAGACCGGGGTCGAAATTATGGATGAAAGCAACACCAACAACGAAGAGTGGAACAAGGCACGATCACGTAAGCTCTCACACAAAACACTGTCCGACTCTGCTTCGAGTTCGGGAACAGTTCGCAAACAGCCGAACGTCAGTGAAGGACTCACAGTAATCTTTGCCGCTACGAAGCCTGACCAAAAGCTAGCAACTTTAAGCAGCTTGAGGCTTTCCAACGCCCTAGAAAAGCTCTGTCCAGAGTGCATCCTTCAGATCCGCCCCAACGAGCGCCTCAACGTCGTCGCCGTTGATGTGCGCAACGGACAAACAACAAGGACGCTGCTGAAATCTCCTGAACTTTGTGGTGTCTCTGTCAGGGCCTACCAATCCCTCGAGGGCCCCACATCGATTGGTGTCATAAAAAATGTCGATGCTGAACTGTCAGATCCTGAAATTCTAGAAAACCTGCGATCGGATGGCCGCATAGCCAGAGTACGTCGTCTTGGGGTGACAGGTGTCGTAAAGCTGACATTCAGCAGTTCACCATTGCCAATCTTCGTGCTGCTAGGACGAGTACGACACCAAGTGACGGAGTTCAAACCCCGTCCAATCCAGTGTCGCAACTGTGGTGGTTTTGGGCACTTCGCAGTCTCATGCACACGTTCTTCCGCATGCTCTCGTTGTGCAGAGCCGCATCCTATAACTAACACTACGAGCAACACCAAATGTAAATCCACAGTGATCAAGTGCGTCAACTGTGGAGAAGCACATGAAGCTACATCTCCTGCGTGTTCAAAATAGAGAGAAGAGCAAAATGTCGTCACGTACGCCAAGAGAAATTCGGTTGACTACCGCTCTGCCAGAATTATTGTAAAGCAGGCGTCGGGAGCCATACCAGAACCCATTCTCAATGTGGTGGCCAACAGCACCTCCAAGAAAAGTGGAGAAGCCCCAGTGTAGGACAGGCAACCCCCAGCCCTTGACGATAAGGGTTTAAGCTATGCCGCAGCACTCAAGACCGATCCTCAAAAAAATATCGAAAGACTACCTAACAACAACTCTGCAACAACGACTAATAAGCCAAAACCCGGTGTCACCATTCCGACGGGCACTGAAAAGTCGACATGCAACGGAGCATCTGTCAAAAATTCTGAACACTCAACGGGAGTCACCAATATTGAACCAACATCAACGGCTGACTCTTCAAAAAGATTACCCCGAGATGCTCCGGAAAAACCTACGGCGAATTGGATAAAATTATTCAGAATAGCAGCAGAAATGGCGTGCGCTTATCTTGATGGCATTGATGCCTCGTGGGCACACATTCTATACGGTTACATTCAGGCAGCGTTCCCACTGCTGAATATAGCATAATGCTACATCCCAACATCCACCCAAAGAGACGCACCCGAAATATTGCATGTCCAACAGTGCTTCAATGGAATACTAACGGCATACAACAACGCCTCTCAGATCTACGCCTACATTTAAAGACCAACCGATACGACGTCCTAGCCCTTCAAGAAACTCGTATAAAATACGGCAAATTCAGACTTTCTCCATACGTCGCTTATCAGGGCCTACTGCCAGTTACTGAAAACACGAGGAACGAAGTGCCGAAAGCCACGATACTTGTCCGAAGAGAACTGGATCAGCATCAAATAGATTAGACAGACTTATGTGACGATGCTGCTGAGTTCACCGGTGTAACGATACGTAAAGGGGACTGCGACACCACCATAGTTTCTGCGTACGTCCGTCCGGGAACAAAATGGGACCCTACGATTATGATGAAGATTATGCCGCGCTGCTCAGAAAACGTACTATTTTTGGGAGACTTTAACGCCCATGATCACACCTGGGGAGATAAGCACACAACGACGCGCGGATCTGCTCTTGAGGCCACAGTGGACACGCTAGGGCTTGTTCCACTGAATGATGGAACCGCAACATTTGTCAGACCGGGGGTCTCCAACAGTTTCCTTGACCTCAGCTTCGCTACACCACAACTCAGCGCACGATGGCAACCTCAACATGACAGCTGGGGTAGTGATCATATCCCGATCATTATCTCCTCCCCAAGCTCTGCAAGCGCTACACATAGGACCTGCAGAGTCGTCAATTGGGACCAATATCGCTCGCACCTCCAAGACCTTCTCTCTGAAGGAAACGTCAATCTTACAACGGCTATTTCACAAGCCCTATATGACGCCACGAGGCTGGTCCAGGTCCCGGTCTCCCGCCCGAATCCTGACCTCCTCTACCTCAAGCTGAGGGCCCGCCGACGGCAAGCCCAAAATCGTTCACTACGTACAAGAAGAATGGAGGACATTCAGCGCTATAGAAGAATCGACGCAGCGTTCCGCCGCCATACTAGCCGACTTCAGCGAAAACAGTGGAGACAAAAATGTGAATCTCTTGGCGCTCCCGGTGGCGCAAGACAGGCTTGGAGGATGGCACGTGCTCTCGCATCGGAGGTAGTTCCTCTGCTTCAGATCTCAGCGTTTGCTATATCGCAAAATATTATATTAGCACGAACTGCCGAGCTTTTGGCCGATCAATTCTCCCGTCCAATCTCTCCCCCTTCAGACTTTCAAATTAGCTCATCAGTGACCCCCCTTCATCAACTGCCCAACATAGACTCCGACTTCACGCTTAAAGAACTGCAGCACGCACTTAGAAGATCCACCCGTCTAAGCACTCCAGGGCCGGACGGGATAACGTACCAGGCTTTAAAAAACATAGACCCTGTCATGATGCCTAAACTACTGGAGGGGCTAAACTCAGTCTGGAGCACGGCGGCACTGCCGGATGCTTGGCTCAACTCCGAAGTCATACCAATCCACAAACCAGGCAAACCGGTAGAAGGTTTGTCATCATACCGACCAATTTCACTCACCTCCTGCCTTGGAAAAGTTCTCGAACGCATGATACTTAGAAGACTAGACTGGGCACTAGAAACAGTTGGCGCGATCCCTGAACAACTCTCTGGTTTCCGCCGTCGACGTTGCACGGCAGATGCTATTGGGGATCTCGTCTCAGCGTTGGCGGAAGCCAAACAAGCTAATCACGGTTACGCCGTCATTTTCCTTGATATTACCAAAGCATTTGATGCGATTCCTCACGCTACTGTCATTAACCAGCTTCAAGTCCTTGGCGTCACGGGACGTACTTTGGCATTTATCAAGGCCTTCCTCACTGGCCGGACTATGAAAGCTCGCATCGGAAACGATCGCAG